ATCAAATCCTTATCAAAGGAAATGAGAGTCCTAAGGGATCATGTCAATGATACACCAAAACAGACAAAGCATCAGCTTAACAGTAAAATGCATGCAATGCAAGTGAGGGAGGAAATGTGTGTGGGGCTTCAGCCTCCACAAGCTCGTCTCAACCTCAAGCCAGTCATGAAATAACAGTAATCATACTGAAAAATAAACAACATGCTATCAAGCAATAAACAGTAAACTGCAATCATACAGATAAAATGAAATGAAAATGCCATCAGGCAAACAAACCACATGGGCAAGGGAGCTGGGCTCTACCGAATACCCACAAGCAAAGCCACGCAATAACAATACAAGTAGAGGGAGCAACTCAACCTCTAATGCAATTATGCTCCTAGATTCTACTTATTCTAGATGGACTTAATCTAATGCAACAGACAAATCAAGCAAAACACACAATACAGAAAAGAAAACAGAAGAAAGCCTCAACTCCTCCAGCAGCAACCCCAGTCTTCAGACCTCATCCATCAATTGCTTTCCAGGTATCAACCCTACAACATGAGTTTCAACTCATCTTTTCCCTTAAGCTTCAGCTTCTTCAGGGATCTTCAAGTATCAACTTGATCTTCATGCTCTTCAAGCTTCAGCTGGAATGGCAGTCTTCAAGGATTCATCCTCTTCAATAATCTTCAATGAAGTCTTCATCTTCATGCTCAGGCTCTGACATTCTAAATTAGTAGTACCAAGTTAGTAGTACCAAGTTTATAATATAAATAGATACGCAAGTTTATAAATTAGTAGTACCAAGTTTATAATATAAATAGATACGCAAGTTTATAGATTCAAATTCCTACATAAACATCCAAAAGAAATTCTAACAAAATATCCAACACATACATATAAAGTCAGTTCTAAAATAAAACATTCAAGCCAAGAAAACAACTCCATCAACTTCTTTCCACCTTCACGTACACGTACGAAGAAAACTGCAACATGCTCCAAGTTAACGTATCACCATTGCAGAGGTTTTTACTTTGAGCAAATTCATTCCAACCCAATGCCATGTACTTTTCGTGAATGCTTGGTTCATTGTTCCTTCTTGCTGTATGAACTTGACATTTGAATTTTTTCCGCATCATCGACAAGGTTGATTTCGTTATGCATTGTTCGAAGACATCTTTTGACTATTGTCCTAGAAAATGTTGCGTATAATATTTTTGAAAACAACATCAGATAGATAATATTTGTATGTAAACGAAATATATCATATACGATGTATGCTTACCATAACATTATTTGCACTGCTTTTTACGTTTCTTATCTGACTCTTCCAAGTATATTGCACAACCCCCATCGACCATTCCTCCTTGATTTCATTTGAAAACCTTGCTTTCGCAACAACTTTTTCTTTTCCTTTCTTGCACACTGGTTTGTCATCAGACTTCTCCTTCAAGCTATTTGATATACTTGTTTCGCCAATAACTATGTGTTTTACTTTATTAGCCACAAATTTCTTATTTGATTCATTCAAGAGCCTTGAGTTCCCAATAACTTTATGTTTTCCTTTGTTGATCCCCGATCTATCAACAGGTTTCTTCCTTGCATCCTTTTGAGAAGTTGCAGCTCTATCTCCAACATTATCAGCGTTCACATTCACAATGTTTTTAACAATCTCAGTGTTATATGTAGTTTCCCCAGTGTTATCAACCGGTTCTTCCTTAATACGATGAAGAACAAGTGTTTCATTATTTGTGGAAACAACTGCATTATTCGCATTCGTCGTAGTTGGTATGTCACTGCTATGACAAGTCTTGGCAGCTTTTTTTTTTCTTCTTTCCCTTAGCAGGCAAATGCCCAGTCTTAACTACCAAATCCTTGATTATCTCCATTGCGTTTTCAGGCTAATGTAAATAATTATTAAATCTAATTATAAAGTCATGCATAAAATAAAAAGTTCATAAAACAGAAATCTGAATGAACAATTTATAATGTTTTAAAAACCGAACTCATATATATATATATATATATATATATATATATATATATATATATATATATATATATATATATATATATATATATATATATATATATATATATATATATATATATATATATATATATATATATATATATATATATATATATATATATATATATATATATATATATATATATATATATATATATATATATATATATATATATATATATATATATATATATATATATATATATATATATATATATATATATATATATATATATATATATATATATATATATATATATATATATATATATATATATATATATATATATATATATATATATATATATATATATATATATATATATATATATATATATATATATATATATATATATATATATACCTATGTTCAAAATAGAAATCTCAAATAACAACAATTAGAGTTTCTATTTAAAAAAATCTATATCAAAAGAAAAATGCTATTCCTACACCATTTCCTACACCCAATACTTACACCGTATGCACTATTCACTGTATTTATACGGTGAACAGTGTTTTTTTATTAAAATAATATATTTTTTTAAAATATTAATTTTTTTTTTAAAAAAGTTTTATTTTTAAAATTTATTTTATAACACAAATATAAGATTGCGCATTAACCAACTTCACAGTTGCATTAACCACAAAAATCTACATTATTAACCAATTATTTTACCTATAATTTATTAACCACTTTCACTACTTCATTAACCAATAAAATACACACTATTAACCATGTTCTGGGAAATTTGTTCAAGTATTTGTGAACAGTAATTGAGGTGTAGGGTGTAAAGATGGGTGTCAACATAGCAATCCTGATATCAAAAAGGTAACAAATTTTTCTAGTAGAACAACAACATCAAGTGTTATTCCAAATTAAACTCTAAACTCTTAAATTTTTTTATACTATGTTGAAATCTAAACATGCAAACAATGAAATGTCATTTTCCTATTTTTCTATTTTTTAAAGAATTTAAAAGTAAAAATTCTAAACCGTTTCATCTGAATTTCCGTATAGAACATGAATATTGGTTCCAAATTTAAATAACATTATAGGAACAATATTAATTAAAATAAGAGTTCATATCTCATGATTCAGACATCATCTGAAGAAACTATCCTTTACTAGTTATAGTAAAAGTATGTAGCAATTTCTTAAACCTAATATGATATGTGAGTTCCAATCCATAATTTTTTTATAAGTTTCATAGTTAAAAACTCTAAAAAAAAAGTACGAGTACAGTCTAATTCAATATCTTAAATGAGTTTGAAAAACATATCGGTTTGAATTAATTTAACACAGACAATAAAAGTCCACTATTTTATTCAGTCATCCCACTTTCTTAGATCTACTATTTTCCTATAACATGGAAAAATAGTGAATTCATTGAAAGTGATTGTCCCTTTAACTATTTTTCTACTCCACTACTGTTTTAAAATAGTATTCAATGTTTTTAACTTTTTTTTTTTTTATATTGAACTTTAAATATACAGATTAATCTTTAAATTATGTTTGATTTAAAAAAAAAAGTTAAATTACTTAATGATATAACTAATGCTCATTCCATTTCAAATAAATATCTAATCTATCAAAATTATATGTCTCAAAAGTTTTCAATACAGTTTAATTATTGCTTTTAATTTATTTTTCATTTACTTTATATTTATAATAACTAGCGTCTCATCCGTGTCCGTCTCTCCATTTTCTTAATATTTAAACGTTTAAAAATATAAACAATATTTTTTTATGTGTTTATTTTTTATTTTAATTTAAATTTTATATAAAAAATTAAATAAAATAATTATGTAAACCACTATATAACACTTAATAAAAGAGAAAGTAATAAAAAAAATTAAATTTTAAAATAAAATAAAAAAAATATAATTGAAATAAAAATAAGTTACATCAAAACATTATATTTTGCCTAGATTATCCACTCAAATATATCAATAATAAACAAGAATAATATTATATATTTTTTAATCGGTGTAAAATTACTGACTATGATACTTATTTTGCAATGGGTATAGTAATATTTATCAAACATTTATATTAATCATAGTTATTAGAATACTTAAATAAAATAAAATATAATTAATAAAGTGTAAGTAAAATAAAATAAAAAATAATATATATATATATATATATATATATATATATATATATATATATATATATATATATATATATATATATATATATATATATATATATATATATATATATATATATATATATATATATATATATATATATATATATATATATATATATATATATATATATATATATATATATATATATATATATATATATATATATATATATATATGAGCTCAGAGAATGTATTTAGTTTAATATTTTTGTGTGTTGACCAATACATAGATGAGCAAAGGTTTGTGCCCTTTTTGTCTCTTTCATCTTATCCTACTCATCTCTCTGTCACTCTCTCATATCTGCACGCGCCACAGCACAAAAACAGGAAGAAGATGAAGAAAGAGTGAAAAAACTGTACTATTATTAGTGGGAGCATTTTCTCTGTACTCTTTCAAGTGGGTGATTGTTTCCATTTGCTTTGTTTGTGGTTATGGCTTTCTTGTGGGGTCACTCGTCGTTTTGCACTATCAAAGGTTGCTTTCTGCTTCAGTGCTGTCGTGTGTAGCACAGGGGGTTTTCCAGGGTTTGTTTTTGATTGCATTATTGTACGTTGTTTCCTTAAAGAACGAGTTTTTTGGGATTCTTTTGTGTGCCTTTTCTGGAAGAAAAATATGGTTTTTTTAGGGAGTTGGTAAGGGAGTGTGAATTGCAGAGTTTTCAGGAAGTAAAGGGGTTCTTAAAAATTGTTTCTTTTAGTAATGGGGTGGAAGGTTTTTGGATTTTTAACAATGTTTAGAGAAGTTCATTGTTGAGGAAGTTGTTTTTGTCTTTTTGGTGTTTTGGAGTGGTTTTTTGTTTTTGGGTGGGTTGGAAAGTGTTGCAAAAATGAGTGATTCTTCAGTGAAGAATTTGGCTATTACAGATAAGGTTCAAAAACCTGGTGGTTGTGTTGGCATTTTCTTTCAGCTTATTGATTGGAAGAAGAGACTTGTTAAGAAAAAGCTCTTCTCCAAGAAGCTTCTTACTCCTGGTTAGTTAGTTTCTAGTAATTTTAGTATGAAAAATGATAGTACTAGGAATTGTTTTTGTTGAAACTGATGTTGTTGTTTTGATCTTTGTTGCTGTGTGCATATTAGCTCGTGCGAAAAAGTTTAGAGGAGATGACAAAATGCCAAATTCTAAACTTCATTTGGTAAGCTTATGCTTTGAAGAGATTAATCATTTTGGTGTTAATAATTTTAAATTTGGTGTTTATTGATGTTTAGCGGTTAATCCTTATGTTGGCTGTTGCTGTTGTGTTTCAATTGTAGATTGCTAATGAGAATAGTGGAGGTTTTCCAAAAGGTGGGAATCATGGTGTAGATGTAGACCAAAAGAGTGAAATGCGAGTTCCAAGTTTGGTAGCTAGGTTGATGGGTCTAGATTCTATTCCGGCCGCTCAGCGAGATAAATCGAACAAAGCTTTGTGTCCTGATTATAGTTGTGGCGATGAGAAGGAGTGTTTGAGTAATCATTGCGAGTTGGATAGGCAAGGTAAGGATTTGGAAATGAGAGTTGTGAAGCATGATTCGAGACCTCAGAAGCTTCAGAAAACGGGAGTATGTGAGAGAAATGGGGTGACTAGGTTTGGAGCGGAGGCTCTTCATATTAAGAGTGTTTTGTCACGAGCAAAAAAGTATAACCAACATCATAATCATCATCACCCGAAGCTTGCTTCTCCTTTGAAAAGTCCTAGGGTTAATTCCGGGAAAAGTGCTTCTCGAGGCTCTAGATTAATGGGAGCGGCTGCTAAGATTTTGGAACCTGGAATGCACGCTAGTAGAGGTAAAGGTTCTCTTATGTATCATGCGTCCACATGTCCTCTTAAGGCCGGCATTGGAACGGATGGTGTGGGAAATAAGTCACCGGTTATGCAAAATCAATCTTGTTATGGTTCCAGCACGGCCAAACCTTTAACAGGGCAGTCTTCTTGCAAAAATTGTGGCAATTTGCTTGATGTGATTGATTGCACGGTGGAGGTTAGGGGATCACCAGATGTTCCTCCGCCGACTGTTTCTGACGTGGAAATCAATGCTACCTCAATGGTATCGTCGTTTAAGAAGGGAAAGTCTTTCACTCCCTCTCAAGGACAAGGAAGAGATATCGTTCTTCCGAGAAGTCGGGGCAAGTTCTTATCTTCTGTTGCTGATGAAGAGGTGAAGAATTATGCACAGTGCTCATGGAATGAACCGACTACCATAAGAATTCCAATGCCCCACGAAGCCCCGGCTAAATGTAGTTCATCGAGCCAACCATTAAGGGCTCAAGAGGAAGATGGATCTTCTTTCACCCATAAACACAAAACACAAGAATCAAAATTAAGTAGCGAGGGCTCTTCGTCTGGATCAACAACGAGTAGTATGCAAGTAAAAAGAGTATCATCGTGTGGGAGCACTACAAGTGGGACTAAAGACTTCGTTGCTTTGAATAGAAGCGTAACTGGTCGAACGAGGATGAGGCCGCCTACTAAAGTTGATAGTTCTAAATTTGACTTAGAGAAAAAACCTTGTTATAGACAACAGCACGAGTCACTGTCTCATGTAAGGACATTGGAAAGGAAAAGAAGGACCCCGAATGTCACACAACTCGAAGGCACGACTCCTGCTAATTCAGTTGGTTTGAAACAGAGAAATCTTCGCCGTGATGCAATTGTAGGAAAAAGGAGGGACTTTGACTCTTCCTCATTGAACAGTCCCAATGTAAAAAATAAAGGAGGTGGTCAAGGGGAACCGGTTAAGGTGAGCCGCAATAGGAAAATTGATGCAGCTTCATTCACGTTTAGTTCCCATTTGAAGCAAAAGACTGGAATGCCCGTGGAGATGGAAGAGACGAACATCAACAATGATCGGAATAAATACTTCCAAAGACCTCCACCGTTAAAAGTTGATGATTTAAGTTGTTTTCTAGAACAAAAGTTGAAGGAACTAACCTCTCAAAAAAACGAGTTGGCTACAAATGCTCTACCTCAAAAATCAAGTGCCGCGATTCTTCAAGAGCTGATATCTGCTCTAAGTTCAGAACATTTGAACCATCATGATGGTCATATGCATAATGAAGATACTGGTTTCCTTGTAAGTCTTCTTCATCAATACCGTCTTCGCATGCTTATAATATTCTCTGGCCATTTTGCTTTTGTTAAATTATCAGCTACCAGTTACTCGTTTTCGTTAAAAACTTGCAGTGCAGTGCTTGAGTCTGTTCATATTTGCAACAAAATATTCTGTGACATCTTGTTAAACGGAAAGATGCAATTATTTTGATAAATTGTTTGATTGGAGTATACTCTTTCCGTCCCACAACGGTGACCAATTTGACCATTTCACATAAATTAAAAAAAAGTGGGTGAATGAGAGAAAAATTACCATTAAGTAATGGTGAATTCACAATTACTATAACTGTAGAGTGGATGATATTCTACAAATTACTAGTACCACCAACTTTTTTACTCTATTGAAAATAGAGTGTTCTATAGATATAGTAGTAATTAATATTGCATTGAAAAATGATATATTGCATTGGTAATTGAAATGATCATTCATTTCATTTTGAGACAATTGTTTTTTACAGTGTCACTCATTGTGGATAGTGGTACAGACAGTGTACCAGAAGTGTAATTAGGCTAATTCTATTCTTCTGTTAAATGAATCTACACTGCTTGGAAAAAGTGAGATAATTATTAAGTGATTAAGAGATTTTATTTTCAGCACTTGGAATGAATAGGAAGAGGCCTATTATTTATACCTGATGTTATCTTTGGTTTCTTTTCTTATCACAGTGTGGAACCAAACAAGAAAGGTTGTTAGGAACCTCTTGCAATGATAATCATCTCAGTCCCGGATCTGTTTTAGAAGCTTCATTTTCTTCTAGTAGTCTCGACGAATGCTCAGGTAAATTCGAACTTGATAAACTGCAATTGATGTAAAAGCGTTTCACAATTTTCAATTTATTTAATCTCTTTCTGATCTTTGATTGATTATAGGACGAGGTTTTCACCCCGATTCTGTGAGTTTCTCGTATAGCCAGCCGGAACAAATGGAACACGATGATGAACTCTTTGATTCCGTGGTGTCTTTTAATAAAGGAAGTATAAGCAAGATACTAATTGATATTGTCAACCAAATTCCTATGGTATTGCAGTGTTTATATTCGTTCGGGACACAATTCACAAGAAGCAAGCTCAACAATATGAAGAGTGTTCTCGTGAATGCTGAACTGGTGCTTCGAATTGCAAATGAACGAGGCGAGGAAGAAGTGCCACAATTTCTAATTTATCGGTTTCTTCGTAACGAATTGGACACTATGTTGACTGATTTTAGTGGTTTTGTTGGTTGTGAGGATTCCAAACCGAGAAAGATGCTCAATGGATTTATCTTGGATTGTGTTATGGAATATCTAGAATCAAATTGTTGCCAATATTTTCACTCGGGGTTCAAGGCGTGGACGAAGCTTCCGTTATGCATGAAAACCGAGACATTGGCTCAAGAGGTCACGAGAGAGGCGAATAAGTGTGCGCGTATGGTTGGGATGGTACCCGACGAAATAATCGAATGGGAGATGAGTCATTCACTCGGGAAATGGAATGACTTTGATATCGAAGCATTTGAGGCCGGTGTTGATATAGATGGAGATATACTTCATTGTTTGGTTGATGAAGTTGTTGAAGAGTTTGTAGGTTGCAAGCATACTTCTTACTCCTTTTGATCATGCAACATCTATGTATTCATGTTCTGTTTTTGTCTGATAATCATGGTGTATTTTTTGTACAAATGGGATATATGATAGTATCTCTAACCGAGGGTTCTTTAGGCCTCTTTGAATTTGTGGACAAAGAACGTCATGTGATAATGTTGTTGTTTTAATAATATTATTATTGTTTATGTGTTTTGATTTGAGGAAATTAGTATGTTTTTGGTTTCAGCATTTTCGTAGGAAAAAAAATTAGCTTATTCAGTTTAAGACTGGTTCATCAAAATGGATTCCACCTTAAGAATCTCAGTTTAAACAATAGAACTTGAACAATGAAAGGTATAGTCCATATGTTTTGCAGTTGTTTTCAGATTTTGATTTTGATATATCTTTGGTGTTCAAAGAAGCTACACTTACAAGTGGCTAGGTTTAGGATATTGATAAACTTGAATTGAAGTAGTCTCATCGATTGTGCATTGAAAGACAAAAAATTTAGTGTCTCATTGATTATGCATCGAAAAGCAATAAAAAAAGAAAGTCAATTTCAACAAAGATTGTCAAAATTCCGATCTAGACAACCTTAGTTTCAACCATGTTTCAATTTCCAACTTGTCATTTTTCACATTAAAATAGCTTGAGTTCAATTTTCAGTTGGAACAATATTTACTTCTTAATTTACTTATTTCTTAATTGAATTACGGATTAACAACATCTCTTTTTCCTTAAAAATAGAAGGATCTTGTTAGTTATAGTTTTATTACAAATCTCTTTTTCCTTAAAAATAGAAGGATCTTGTTAGTTATAGTTTTATTACTTAGGTTGTGTTCGATGACATTGTATAATTTAGTTGAAGTAGTTGTATAATTAACATATCCGACCGAATCAGAATACAACTAATAACTGTTAAGTCATTTAATAAGTATAATGTTATAATTTAAATTAGAGTTAACAGTTAATAGAATTTTCCTTTTACACATACAATTTCTCTTTTCTCTCTATTCTTCTTCTTCTTCCTTCACTCTTTTTAAAACTTTAATTGTTCTAACAAATTGGTATCAACGAGTCCGAATTGCAATTCAGAGAGAATCTATAATGGCAAACAGAAACACAACCTCAAGTCAATTTCCGACAAATCTACCAGTTTTCAAAGGAGAGAACTACGAATGATGGATTGCGCAGATGAAGACCATCTTCAGATTTTAAGATGTGGCTGAAATCTTGAATGATGGAGTACCTGCATTGAAAACAAATGGAGATGATGATCAAGAGGTTGTGCACAAGGAACAAAGGAAGAAAGACGGAAAAAGTCTTTTTATGATTCACTAGTGTGTGAATTCAAAAGTGTTCGAGAAGATTATTAAAGAAGAATCTGCTAAAGGAGTGTGAGACAAGTTAAAGAACTTGTACGACAGAGATGAAAAACCGAAGAGGGTAAAATTGTAGACGTTGAGAAAACATTTTGAGGTGACTCAAATGAAAGAGGATGAGTCAGTTTCCGAATTCTTTTCGCGTTTAGTGCTGCTAACAAACCAAATAAAGGTGTGTGGTAAATTGATCAATGATTTGTAGAAGATTGAGAAAGTACTGAAATCTATGACTGCAAATTTGATTACATTGTACTGTCTATTGAAGAGTCCAAGAACATACTTGAGATGAAGTTAGAAGAACTTCAAACTGTTAGACGATGACAACGATCTAAAATGGGATAGGGGGGGGGGGGGGGGGGGGTTGAATAGATAACAAATAAAATTTTCTTAAATTAAAAATCTGTTTTAAAAATTATTTACTATGACAAGCGAAAACAATTCCAGTTCGACACTCATCTATGCTGAACAGTTATCGAAAGAATTAGATATGCATATTAAACTCTAACAAAATATATTGCAATTATGAGAAACAAATCAATATGTTTTTTAAAATAACGTTTGAACTATGTCACACCATGATAATCAATTTCCAATGAAATAGGAAACAAAAACTAACTAAGACAATTTGTCAAAATAAACATGAAGCTGATTTTCCTTTATGTTAATAATGTAAACAACCAATTGCAATTATTTAGACTGCAATTATCTTACAAAACAATTTGAATTACTTCAACACAAACATAATTTTCAACATATGAGATTTTACACTAAATGAATTATTAAATTATATATATATATATATATATATATATATATATATATATATATATATATATATATATATATATATATATATATATATATATATATATATATATATATATATATATATATATATATATATATATATATATATATATATATATATATATATATATATATATAGATAGAGAGAGAGAGAGAGAGAGAGAGAGAGAGAGAGAGAGAGAGAGAGAGAGAGAGAGAGAGAGAGAGAGAGAGAGAGAGAGAGAGAGAGAGAGAAGAGAGAGAGAGAGAGAGAGAGAGAGAGAGAGAGAGAGGAGAGGAGAGAGAGAGAGAGAGAGAGAGAGAGAGAGAACAAGGATTTGTCTAGGAAGTTCCCCAATTGTCCTCGTTATAGATACGTCTGCCTCCAATTCCAAATAAAATTGAGATATTCAATTAACCTTTGCAAATATTGTATACAAAAGAAAAAGTAGCAATTCAAACCCATAAATCCTAAGTTTGATGTTGATCCTGTCTTTTTCTCATCCATTGATCTTAAGCAAGATCAAGTGACCCAAGATTTCAAAGTCGATCCTCTGATTATCGCTACTCCTTTGACAAAACCTTGTTGTTCAAAGCTTTCACTAGGTTGAATCCTCATTGCAAAATCTTGTGAAAAAACCCCCAAATCACTTGATCTTGGAGAAAAAACCCCAAATGGTTTTATCAATAAAACCTCTATATAATACTCAACCCAATTTGATTACACAAATCACAAATTGGACCTTATCAATCTAGATCTAGATGACACCCAATAAGAATGATTATTTGTATTTGTTGTGTGTATGCATAAAAAAAGATTTAAGATGATGAGATTTTTTTTGTATGTTCTTGGTTTCAATAGAGAAATGATGCATGAATGAATATATATGTGTGTGTGTGTGTGTGCGCACGTGTGCGTTTACGTATGCGTGTGTGTGTGTGTGTGTGTGAAGAAAAACAGAAAAATAGATTTTCGAGCAAAATTACAAGTTCGAAAAAAGATAAAACAGAATGTGTTGACCTCAAATGAGTGGGAGTCGACCCATAGAAGTATTTAAGCTTCTATGTATTGACCCAAGCAACATAGGAGTCCACCCAACGGAGGCAGGGTCATTTTGGCTTGTCAAAGCATCAATTGAAGTTGATATCAAGAAGGTATGTGTCAACCCACCCACTCGAGTTTTGTGTCGACCCAAGAGCATAGTGTGTCGACGCAAACAAGGCAACAAATTTTCTTTTAAAATTGTCTTCAGTATGTGTCGACCCATAACACGTATGTGTCGACCTATAACAATGTTTTCCATATAAAACTCAATTTTTTACTTGTAAAGATGTTTTTAACTTGTTTTTAAATGTCCTAAGATGAAAATTCACATATAAACATAAAGAGAAAAGTCTAATGTACACAAATACTAAGTATCCTAGTTTTGACATCATTCAAAATATTTCTAAGAGGATAACACACTCACACAAGCTTCATTAAAGGCTCATGAGATGAGACTGAAGCAGAGGAACTCAAAAAGGGAAAAGGTGGCTGAACAGGCACTGCAAGCAAGATTCATCAAGAAATCTGTGAAAGAGAAGGCGAAGTAAGGAAAGAATCTTGCTAATGACAAAAAGTCAAGCAAGAATTCAAATAATCACTTAGATTCAATTAAGAAAGGAATGTGCAACAAGTATTGTTAGAAGAAAGTTGACATGAAGGAGGTGCGTTGTTACAACTATCAAGGAATTAGTCATTATGCTCGAGATTATCGAAGGAAAAAGAGTCAAGAGCAAAAGATAATGAGGAAGTTTAGTGTGCACATGCAGGAGGTAGTAACTCTGGTGACATGCTACTCATGGCCAATACTCAGTCGAATAATGAACGTGACAATATATGGTAACTAGATTCAGAATGCAGTAATCACATGGCCGAGAATAAAAGCTGTTTCACCAAGTTAGATGAATCAGATGAGAAAGTGATCAAGTTTGCAGATGGCAGACACATCACATCAGTTGGAAATGGGAACATATTTGTGGTTAGAAATAATGGTGAAAAGCCAACATCATTGATGTGTTATATGTACATCCGATGACAAGTAATTTAATAAACATATGTAAATTACTTGCAAAAGGGTACAACATGAAGCTGGAAAAGTATCATATGAATGTGCATAATGGTGAAGGAAGGTTGATTCTGAAAGCACCATTGGTAGATTATAAGACCTTCAAAGTAGAAATCAACACGATTGATAACAAGTGTCTTGCTCAATTGCAGAAGAAGACAAGAATTGGTTAATCATTGTCGCGGTGAAAATTAGATACCAAACTATTGATTAGTTTGAATCTTTTATTCATTTTGCAACCGAACTTTGATTTGTCCAAAGGAAGGGGTAAAGATCGAAATTCCCACAATGCAATGCAAATGCAAGGCTTAGAGAGTTTTAGGTTCGGAGGCTGGTTAAACTTAGGGAAGGTACTAGCATCCTAAATCTCTGTAGTACTCTATAGGAACCTCTTGTTTTATATTGTTTATTGCTATGTGTTTATCTGCTTAAAGGTTGAAAGACCTAGGGGTTTATTTCTAAGTATACTCGATAAGATGTTGTATCTTATGCCTACATATCCTTACGGGAGTGGAATCAGAGTATCTGTAGTCCCCCTAAAGGGTTTGAGGAGTCCTTTGACTGTGGTCAAAGTTCCTACGGGTTTAGGGTGGTTGATTGATTGGGTTTAGGAGAAGAGATGAGTCTTCATTTTAAGAGAGATGTAACCGCCACGGATGTAAGAAGTTGTATTGTTTGTGGGGTGGAGATTCCATCTCGCTTAAGATGATTAACATATTTCTCTATTGTGTTTGAAATAATCGTTTGTATTGTT